TCTCACTTTGTCGCCCTCAGTAAAGTGCTATGGTGTCACAGCTCACAGCAACCTCAAACCCTTGGGCTTAAGTGATTCTCTTGCCTCAGCCTCCCAGGTAGCTGGGACTAGAGGTGCCTGACACAACTCCCAGCTATTTTTAGAGACGGGGACTTGCTCTTGCTCTTGCTCAGACTGACTTGAACTCCTGAACTCAAGCGGTCCACCCACCTCAGCCTTCCAGAGTGCTGGGATTATAGGCATGAGTCACCCCACCCCACTTGCAAAGCTCAATCTTAAAAGAACATTGCACTACCCTAATCCTGGGAATGTTCTGGAATGAGTAATGTGATGACCGTCCTTCCTGTCCTATGGGCCAGGCACTGGCACCCCACAGAAACCAGGCCTGGGCTGGGACACAAGACGAGGTGACTGTGATCTGATCCCAAGGGCTGCTCCTACTCAGGGGCTCCCAGGTCACGACAAGTGACCATGCTATAGGTGGGACTTGAGTGGGGTCTCAGGGCCACCTCCCTCCAGAGGCTCAGGGGAGGCTCTTCCTGCCTCTCCCAGCTCCTGGGGCCTTCAGGCAGCCCTGGGCTTGTGGCTATTATCACTCTAGTCTCTGCCTCCATCTCCATGTGGCTTCTCTTATGAGGACACTTGTCATTGGGTTTGGGTCCTCCCACATAATCCAGCATGATCTCATCTCAAGACCCTTAATCACATTTGCAAAGACCCTTTTCCATAAGGGGACAGTTAGCAGGATCAGGAGACCCTTTTAGAGTCCATATTAGGCTGGGCTCATCTTTCCTTCTACTGATGCAGACGTGGGCTGCCCAGGACCCGGCTCCAGGACACTCCCGGCTCTTTTAGCAGAGCTCCATCAAGCTGCCCCCTCCACTGTCCCCTCTGCAGACCGCCCCTGCAGGTGGGGAGCCCACCTGGAAGCAGCACACCCTGGTGCAGAAACCTGCAGAGGCCCAGCCAGGATCACACCAGGCCCTGTTGGCTCCCACCAGCTTCTTCCCCCTTGCTGACTCCCAAACCCAACCATCTTGCCCCAGAAGGTGGCTGGATGGGGGGGCAGGGAGGCCAAGAGTGGACATGGAAGCCCCAGGCATAGCGGTGGCATACCTAATAACCGCGCATCTTTAAGGAGCCCATCCGAGTCGAGGAGTAATCGAATAAAGACGTAAAGGTCAATAGCTAACACACAGACCAGGCCGACCAAGGCTGAGGTCACAGAGCTGAAGAAAAACCTGAGGGGAAAGGCAGAGGCTGATGCCTGGGCATGTGAGCCCACCCAAGGACAGATAGGCACCCACTGGCCATGTGTGGAGAGAGGGGGCCTAAAGGGGCCCCACCACCCTCTAGCCCACCCTGCCTGCTCTGTGCCCTGCCTCAGACCACCCCCTTTAATTTCTCTGGGCAGATGCCCTCAGACCACTGTTGGTCACTCCACAGTTTCAGACAGCCTAGAAATGTGCACAGAGCTGGCTGCAAATGCAGTCCCATTTGATCTCACAGAGAGTCTGTGAAGAGAGAACCAATCCTTTCTCACAAGTAGGGAAACAAAGGCTTGCAGATACCATGTGACATGCCGGCCAACCCGGCCAGCTGGTATGACCAGCTCAGGGTCTGAGCAGCACCCATGGGCCCTGCCTGCACTTCTCATTCCCCACTGTGCTCTCACCAGGCCCTGCCCATCAGGCTCGAGGGACCCTGGCCTAAAGGGAGTCCAGTGACTGAACCTTGTGAAACCAGCACAGTCTGTGAGCGTGTCTGGGGGTCTCCTGGTGCCACCCTGAATCCAAGGGCACTGAAGTCAGAGGGTGCTGCCATGAGGGTGTGAAGTCAACACCTATCATCTCTGCATCCAGAGAGCATTCAGGCCAAGCAAGGCCTCAAGAAGCTTGACCCTTTCCAAAGCCCATGTGTACATTTGTGCCAGAAATAATGTCACATGCTGGAGACATACCAAAATCATTCCCACACTCTTGTCTTCAATCAAAAGACACAGAAAGTGATCCACCCATCCACCCACAAAAAAAAAAAAAAAATCCAGGTAGTAATTCTGGGAATGTTCTTTCACTAAGATGCCTCCCTATGTCTTTCTGCCATGACACTATATCTTAGAAAGTATTCCTTTAAACTTTTTCTAATGTATTTTGTTCATCTAAAATTTAGTTGATTCCATTATTCTCTTCTAGAACTGAACTTCTTAAAATTCCTTTACACATATTCCCAGGCTGAGGAGGAGGTGTTCTGAGGTCCACCGCCACCCAGCCCCACCATTGCCCTCTGCAGGTGTGTTCTGGGCAGGCCCATGAGGAATTCCTCAGGATTGGCTGTGGCAGAACCTGGCCTGTTCTGGGATTACTCCATGAATGTGTGTCAGAGTCAAACAAGGAGACCACAGGGAGAGGACGCTGAGCTTGGCCATGTAGGGGGACAGGAGGTAGCGTCCCGTCCACCTCCCCCCTCTGCCCTCTCACCAAGAGGACCCTGTGCCCACAGACCCTCTCCCTCCTAGTGACCCTGATGTAGATTGTGGGGGCCTTCCTCATCCACTCTATCCTCACCAGTAATTCCTGGAGCCAATGCAGTTGTTGAGCCATTTGCAGTGGTGGTCAAAGTTGGTCACACATTTATTACAAGCACTGCAGTGTTTGGATGTCTTG